AGTGTTGTCGTGGCGTGGGGAGAGGAACGGGGAGGTGCGGGGCCCTGGCAGCCTTTCGCGAGCCTTCATTCATCTAGGCGCACGCAAGGCGCGGTGCGGCGCGGCGTGATGCGCGGTCCAGCACGGCGGGTTCACACGCCATCGATCGGGAAGAACGCGGCGCGGCGCGGCGCGGCGAAAGGGGGGAGGCAGGAGTTGCGGAGCGTGATGGGGCGCGGCGAGTGACTGTGGAGTGGCCGAGAAATCGAAAGCGCGCTGCATCTTCAGACGCGAGGCGTGAAGTTGGTGCGGTGTGAGGCGTGGAGTCTGGCGAGATACCAGGGCACAAGAGAAGGATAATGTTTCTGAAGCTCCCACGTAGAGAATCCGTAAGGTATCAAAATGTACTTGTTGTGCGGAATGCTTAGAGAAGTTTCTTCGCTCTCGATGTGAAACACATCAGAACGTCAGCTGAATGAGAAACAAAAGTAAGATTATAGGGGGAGTAAATTTATGTAATAATAGGCATAATAAATTAATTATGAATCCATTGCATTGCAATGAATATAAGTGGATATAGGTCCCAAAATGAGTCGAAATGCTCGAAAGTGGCACTGCCGTAATAATACAGCGCTCATTTTGTATGTAGGTCAATTTTTTGGACAATAGTATTTTTGTCAGTGCGGTTCTGCACTGCCGTGACAAGCAGCAAATAATGAAATGAAAGTTGGAAAATATGACATGAATAAGTAAGAATGTTTTTAAAAACATATTAAGCGCCCATAGGTTATGTATTACTCTATTTGATTATGAAATATACAAATAAGACTACACTACAAGATCGATCACATGTTACAACGGTTACATATTACACCTCAAGATTGAACAATTACAAATATGAACTAGATATCAGTTCCAACATATATAAGAGGTGATGAATTAGAATTACCATCTCCGTCGTTTACTTCAAAGACAAGAATCAAAGAAGAGAATTTTTGTGAATCTTAAACGATAGTAAATTGTTTCACGTTAAGTCTGGAATGTAAGAAAAAAAACAACGTATTTTCAACTTCTCTGAGCCATTGCAATTTTATATGGTATAATTTTTGATAAATGTTCTCCAATCGTTAGGCATGAATATTCGATACTCTTTTTACTGAAACCTGTCTCGAGATAAAACTTGATAAAATGTTGTTTGAACGAATATTTTCTTTTATTCTTCGCTTTCGTACGTGTGAAATAAATGTCATTGTATGGTGGTTACGTACAATAGACGCGGCAAGCCACATCACGAAGAGGTGAATAATCAGGTGGTAAGAAGGGATTTGCGAATATAGGAATGATCGTTTGCTCAAATTATCGAGATTCCAAATTATATTTGGCTAGTACATTATTAGCGTTGCCATTCGATTTCAAGTATTTCAACATTTAAGCATTTCAAGCTTCGAGAAGAAATAGTATGACTATACAATATGGACATTAAATTATTCATGAGTTGGTGAAACTCTTCAAAGTCTTACACCATACCTGTGTGTGAGGATTTAAAATATTCTCATTTCATGACACTAAACGTATCTATAATAACAATAATCCTTGTCATCTCAAATTGTTTTAGTTGAGATTTAATTAGCCCAAATATTTATAAACGGTTCGTTTGTTCCTAATTCAGTTAATATTGTTCATAGCAAGGCGTTTAATCACCTAACCAATTTTACATGCGCTTTGATGTCATTTCTGTAAATTTCACAACTCTCATTTTGTCTTGTACACATATTTTCTCTATTTACGATATTTCTCCAATTCATCGTTTCTTAGTTTCTAGGATCAATTTAAGAGTTAACATTTACCAAATGTACTATCTGGAATTTTTTTATTATAGGAAGAGAATGCCCAAAATTCACAGGGAATCCCAACGACTTTGCACTAAAATTCGCCCTCGTCCGTGCTCGCCACTCGCTCCCAGCGTCTGGGTCTGACGGCCAGGACGGTGCGACGCCACAGACAAGCGGCGTCTTTCACCCGTAATTTGCGCCGGCGTTTATTTGAACGCGTCGAGAGCGGCGCCCACGCGCCCCGGCCGCATGTCGCGCGCCCGCCCGGCCCCGCCCCGCCCCGGCCGCCGCGCCCGCGCCCCCCGCCGCCGCCGCCCCCCGCCCCCGGCCGCCGCCCCCGCTCGCGTGTGCTGCGGTCGGCGCTGCGGCCGCCGCTCGGTCGCCCCTCGGGGCCGCGCTTCTCCAAGCGTTAATTTTTATTCGGCGCCAAGGCGCTGATCGGCGCTGGCCTGGGGCGGCGTGGGCGCCGGCGCCCGGTTCGTCGGCCAAAGCGGCGCGCATCCGGCATCGGCGGCGGCGCCGGCCGAGAGCGCTGCCGCCAGTGGAGGAGCGGCGCTGCGGCTTTTCCAGGCGACCGGGGCGGGCGGGCGGTGCGGCGGGGCGCCGGATCAATGTTGTTCGCCGCTCGGGCGTCGGGCGGCCGGACGCCGTTGACCTCAACCGCCCGTCGCTGCCGCCCCCGGCGAAGGCGCCCGTGGCCGCCCGCCGGCCACCCTCGTACCACGTGAGTCTTGGTCTCGCGGAGCGGCGTCTGATTGCAGGCGAGGCCGGTTCGCGTAGGCAACATCCCCGGCGACCCGGTGGCGGGGGACGGCCAAGGTGGGCGGGCACCCGCGCGGGCTCAGAATGCCTGCGAACGAGTACCGCGACCGTATCCGCCCCCTCCACACCGCCGCTCATGTTAGCCTCTTCCCACCCCGACTCGCGACACTGGTCGCGCCCGAACTTCACGCCGTATTCCTGCGGAATAATTAAAGCAATGTCTTCACCCGCACTGGTCGGCAGCACTAGAAACCGAGCCGCGGCGCCGGGACCGGGAGGTGGGAGCCACGCGGGTGACGGACGAACCAGTGACCACCAATTTAGCGAGTGCCGCCCTCGCACCGATTCGCGTCACACTGTTAAATTAGGAAGCTCCTTGTTGTGGGTCCGCTGGAGGTTTTAAAGTACTGGCGCCAGTGCGGAAGCGGCGCAGTCGGGCGGGGGGCTCAGCGCAACATGTCTTTGCATGAGGAACAAGCGGTAGTGCGGGCGGTTGCGCTGGCTAGGTCCGAGCCGCCCGGGCTCGCGGCTGCCCTGCCGGGACGGCGCGCGACGACGCGGACGCTCACAGAGAAGCGTCGACGCCCCGAGGGGCTTGCGGCGCGTCCCGCTGTCCCCGCCCCTCCCTCGCAGTGGTTTCCCGCTTTCCCGCTTTTGCCCGCTTCACCCCTGCTCATCGACGACGCTCGGCCGCGGGCGGCGGCGGTCGGCGGCCTCGCGCCAGGGGCGACGCCGAGCTGCGGGCGCGCACGGCGGGCGGCGTCTGAGCGCGTTTTGTGTTGCAGGTCGCTGACCGAAGCTCAGCTCGCAGGACGAGGCGGAGGGCGGAGCGGGGGCGCACACGGGCCAGTTCTCGGGGGTGGCGGCCCACTTCGAGCCCATCCCCCACGACCACGACTTCTGCGAGAGGGTGGTGATCAACGTAAGTATCGCTTGAGTTCCATCAAGACGCGCCCTGCTGACGCCTTCCCAGCGGAGCCGATTACCGCCACCATCGGCGTTCGCTTAAAGAGGAGGCTCTGTGTCTATAGGTTGCTGGATCAGTAGGATAAGAGCGATCAAGTGGAAATGATGTGAAACGATGAACTTCTTGTGATCTTCGATTTCCCAGAATGGATATAAATAAAGATCCCTCCCCTCTTACTACAGATCTGTTTTCCTTTTCGCGGAATCATTCGACAAAATTAATCTCAGAAAAGAAGCGTAATGTGATATGGAGGAATTTATCTCCAACCACGTTCTGAGCAATTTTTCATATAGACATTTTCTTTGCAGTTAAAACAGGGTATCTCTCAATGTCACCGTTGCATGCATGTGCTGTAACAGGGACTGTCTCTTTAAATCGGGGACCTTCACTTCGACGCCCACGTACCCCTCGCGCATCACTCAAGCTCGACGTTCGCAACAGGGTGGCTCAGTAGTTTCCGGAGGGGGCACGCCACATCACGTCCCTAGGCCCGGGGCAGTCTTGTGTGGGGTTCTTGTTCGTTCCCGTTTTTGCGAGGCCGATCGTCACGGCGGCCATCGCCGGAAGAGCGTCATCGCGGCGTCACCGTGACACGCGTGGCCTGGAGTTAACAGCGCGCCATTTGTTATCATTTGCACGCTCGCGGCTGTCCAGCCGACCGGTGGCACTGGCAGCGGCATCGACGCGCAGCGCGAGCAGCTCGCCAGCGCCCCTCATCTTCGCCGACGTCCACGTCAGACTCCAGTTCGACGCGCACAGATGCCGTCTTTGTGAGACGGACGGCTTCCCGATAAGGTTCCGGAAGTCGCCGTCTCTCTCTATCTGTCTCTCTCGCCCTCTGTCTCCCACCCTTCGTGGAGATTGCGCGACGATGAAGAGCGACTGACGTCCCGCAGGTGACGCCGAATTATTAATACCCTTGGGAGCGACGGGCCCAGCGCAAGTGGCTCTGCGGGCTGAACGGGCTCGACGCTTTGAGCTGCGGCGTATCCAAGTAAGCGACGGGGGCCATGTCCCCCATCATTAAGCGTCATTACGTTGTAACTTTATTTAAAAAAAACATATTGATCGCAGCATGTCGAAAGCAGTATTCCCATTAAGAAGATACATGCATATAATGTTCTAATTGCAGTTCAAGTTAATAATTATGAAAAAATATTTTAATATTTCAAAAATTATTTATGGGAGATGTCCGGACTAGAATTGCTCTCTGCCCTTCGAAAATTTTGTTCTGTCTCTACCCTTTGCCACCATCCATTTTCAGAACTCCTTGAAGAAATTGGTTTCAAGCTGGGACTAGTGTCGATCAGCTCATCTGTAAAAAAGCTAAGCGCTAATGGGTCGTCAACACTTTGCTTACAAATTCAGATATTATACTTCATTCAGAAATGTTGTAAGATAAAACATCTAAATTGATCACAGGAAAGAGAATTTCATTAGTCGTTTAAGTCCGTGATATAATACAAGAACAATTTCCAATATTCTTTTCAGTTTGTAACATGAATCATATTTTGGAGGTCGGAAGCCTTTGTTGTTCTACAGAACCATTTAATAAGTTCGGAAACTTTCAAAACATTCTTTATATGTTATATGAAAAGTTCATTCACTGTCAACTAAGTGACATCACTTTCACTTTGCGACAGAAAGTTCTAAGCTGGCACAATCCCAGAAGCACTTCTTGGCCATTGAGGTTGAGACAGAAGGGAAAATACTGCGCGCAGAGGCCTAGGTCACGAAGAATAAAATTCGTTTTGTTTCTTGTTTTTACCTTGCGAACGTTTTGTTCCACGTCCTGCAAAGTGACACCTACGAGGTAATGTACAGTTCACAGAAATGAAGTAAATTTAATCTTTTACTACTTTAATCAAAATGTAAAGCATGTGTACTTTCCCTCATTTGAGAGGATGCCGTTCGTTGAGGAGAATGTACTCAGACATAAACCTGAGGTTATGATCCCAATAGTTGTGTTTACTTGCCCCGTATTCAGCAGTCGGTTGGAGAGAGCACAGGATTGTAATCGGGAAGCGTGCCCAGCTGTCATTCACTGTCACTGAATCATCCGCCGCCCGTCAAAGCAAATCCCACCCCTGAGAAAGGTCACGTGTTGTACACAGAGGACAACGCTCCCAAGCACTAGCCCGTTGCTGCGATCCGTACTACCATTGTTCGCACTACTTTAGTGGGTCGCAAGGGGAAACACTGGCAATACCAACCGAGAAACCTAGCCTACAGGACGTCACTCATTTCCGCAAGAGAGTCTCGACACTCTGAAAGGGATGTTGTCGTGACAAGTGTGCATGGACTTAAGAATCAACATACACGGAGACGCGGCGACTGAAAGGAAAGCGATTAAGCTCGTGAAATGTTTTCTAAAAAAATTAAAACAGGATAACCAGATGACCTAAAAGCAAAACACCAAACTGGAACCCTTAAAAACCGTTTTCATTTTCATAATAAGATCAAACCTGTAATTTTTATTGATTTTTTTGTGGAACCCTAATTGACTGAAACGGACTCCTTATGTAAACGAACTTCATAATTCCGTGAAACTTGTTGCGGTGGATTCACTTTTTGAGAAGTGATTCATAGTAAAAACATCAGATTTCTGAGATTTGTTAGAGAGTTTTCAAACGTAAAAAAATATATTTTGCAGGGTGCTCCTTAGAAAAGACTATGTGTTAATTCACCAAAAGTGCGCCAAATAATTCCTGTGAATACTGCATAAATCTTTCTCGTGTCCTATTGTAATATGTAACTCAAAGTAATAAAAAAACTTTTTTTAAAAGTGTGGGTGTGAAACGTTTACAAAACAGAAGCTGAAACCGGAACTAAATATTTTATAAAATTAATACAAACCGGGAAGTTACTTGAAACGGTTAAAATGATTTGTTTGAACGTATTTGAACATTTAGTCATCATATAAGATAGCGCAGGGATTGATAATTGGTGAGAATTTGGAGATGTAGAATTAGATCAATGAAATTTTAATGTTAATCGACGGCAGTAGCCGAACACAAAGCGCTTCTTTTTTATATAAGGATTATGGGATATGATATTCTATCCACGATTCTTGGGAAAAGGCAATTTATTTGCAAGTTCTACGTATAAATTGATTCATTTCACGATAATTTAAGAAACGAACGTTTGTAATTGTATTTTTGTCACACTTTTCATTTAGGGAAAGGATCTAAGTAAACCAAATAAATAAGATTATTTCCCATTAAATCCCTTCTAGAAATGACTACTTGTGTGTGAGTATGCATTAGGTAAAAATCAAAAATCCTTAGCACAGACCATATACTGTTAAATAGGCAGGAAGAAAAGAGTTGGCAAGGTTTCACAATGAAAGGCGCAACGAAGTGATAAAGCGAACAGGAGACGAACCGGAGAGCGTCAGGAGCTCGGAGACCGTGGACGGGGGCAGTTCGCGGCACCGGGTGGAGAGAGGTGGGGGCAGGGCCGCGCCGGAGCAGGAACCGGAACGAGACCAACCGTACAGGGAAGCGTTTGGCCGCGGCGGCGATGACGGCGGCGTAGTAGTAGTTGTAGTAGTAGTAGTAGTAGTAGTAGTAGTAGGCGGCTTCAGCCCGCCGCTCAATCGTTTCGGCTGGTGCGAGCGGCCGTGCATTGTTCGCTCACATCAAAGCGTATCGACGCATCCGTACGGCGGCGATGCTGCAGGGCCCGGGTCGCGCTGTGGGAAAGCTCACAGGAAGCAGTGAAGCCTGGTGACGAGCGCGCCCCGCCGGGGCGGGTGGGCGCCGGGGCCGCAGCGGGGCAGAGCAAGGCAGAGCGGGTCGGGGAGGGAACACGGGGAGGCGCCGCGAGCGCCGCTCTGGCGCCATATCGGACGCCGCGCTGTCGAATTGGGACGGCGGCCGACCGACCGGCCGGCGCATGGGCGTGCGCGGCTCGCACGATGCCGGCTGGCCCTAGTACCTAAGCGGCCCGAGGAAATGGGTTGAATTGAAGTATGGGTAGAACGTAGGCCAAAGGGAAGGAAGTGCACTGCGACATACAGATGAATGTTTCATGGAGAAGGTTTTCGTGCTCACTTCCGAGTTTCCACGTACATAATTTCGACGGTAGGTGATTCACTATAGGGATTGATTGATTTATCGTTCTTCGCATACATTTATTAATAGGCTACGCAACATACCGCGTGCCACATAATGTACTATGAACTCTAGCATTCATAAAATATTGAAACAATCCAATGCAATTGAAGTGAGAGAAACACGCTTTGTTTGAATTGAGAAAGTTGCAAATTCCCCAGAAAATTAAAGTTCTTATTTCGTTTTCGCTCGTGCTATGAAAAACCAATACTATTTCTAAATTACCATTTTATCTATCTTTTCTGAGCTTGTTAAGTAAAAGTTAAGGTTGAATTTTGAATATGTTTAAAATCTTTGCTAATTCTGATGCTTCCTAACGAAAAGTTATAATAGTACGATAATGAGGCAATTCTAAGATTAATTATATTGGTATATCATCACGACATATTTTCTCATAATTTCAAATTACATTATTTGATAAAAAAATCAATAACATAGAAATTAATAAATACATTATACATAAAATGGAATGTTTTTATTGAGTGTGAGTTGAATTATTATCGGTCTCTAAAAACTGTGGACAGTTCCGAATAAAACCTCAGGAGGGGAAGGGGCCGGGACATCAAAGATGGTGAACGTAAAGGTGCGCGGAATCAGGGGAAGTGGTGCGGAGGGAGAGTCGGCCCTAAGGAGGCAGCCATGCATGAACGAAAGCACGGAGGAGTCGTGGTTCCTGCAGCATTTTTCGGGGGAGAAAAAAGTCAACCTTCCGCAATCTGAGAGGGGAGAGAAGTTCGCCTCAGTCGCAAGAAAGAAAATGAAAGGGCGTTTTATTGAGGAAGTTCCATATTATTGGAATCAGTGGTATTCTGAAGAAGAAAATAAAAATTTTTCGGCGAG